TGGTTCTGGACACAGACACTTCGGTTTCCGCGTTCACCATGGAAATGCGCTCTCCTGCTGCTCGCTCCTGCTCGGCACCGAACACGGAGTCCGGTACCAAAGAGAATTATCGCGCCATTAAAATGTCTGATGAGGGTGGATTGGTCCTGGTTGAGACCATGTGACGCAGCTAGAGAATGTCGTTTACGCCCTGTCCTTCCTCTGAGGACCTGGATGTTGGCTCTTCCAGTCGGATTTGTCACTGATTTCTTTTTCTTTTCTTTTCTTTTCTTTTCTTTTCTTTTCTTTTCTTTTCTTTTCTTTCTTTCTTTCTTTCTTTCTTTCTTTCTTTCTTTCTTTCTTTCTTTCTTTCTTTCTTTCTTCTTTTCTTTCTTTCTTTCTTTCTTTTCTTCTTTCTTTCTTTCTTTCTTTCTTCTTTCTTTCTTTTTGGCTATAAATTCATCATTTCTTTGGGATCCTAACTACAGGTTGGTGTTGAATTTTGTGCTTTTCCTCCATCAGCTCGGTTGGTCACATTTCTTTTGTTTCAACACAGGGTCCAGGCCCAAGACACAGCTTCCAGAATGCGCTTCTCAGGCGTATGAATAACTTTCGCACAGCACTTGGCACCTAGATTTGGAGGTTGTACGTTGAAGCTTTGATAATGGTTTTGTTCAGAAGAACTCCAGTTCATGTTGGGGTGTTTCCAGTACTGGTGTAAGAACAACAGATCACAGCTACTGGTGTTCTCTACCTGTGTACATTTTTTACCCCTGCTCCGTGAACAGTGTCCACCTATCTCGGTACAAAATCTACGTGTGACTTGTCGGACAGGAGTTTCACGGTAACTTCTACTCATGCAGCCTGGCACAAGCTTTCAGGATGACGGGCACTCACCTACGTTCCACACCGCATTCCGTAGCGGCATCAGTGGTCCCGTTCCCGCTCCACGCTTACTTTGGCAGCAGCAGAGAAAGAAGGGATAACGTCCAGGGCGTGGCCACGCTGGCGGGCCGTGGGGGGGGGGCTGCCCCACGCCAACCGGGAGGCCCCCAGACCGCTATCTAAGGTACCGAAGCCCAGTGCCGCTGCCGCTGCCGCCGCATCCACAGGGGCGGCACGGCAGACACTAGCAGATCCTTACTCTGCTTTGAAGCAACTTCCAGGGAAGTAGAACGACTGTGTAGACCGGGGACATAGCTGAGGATTTAAAAGCAGTAACTTACAGAGCAGGAACCTCTGGTAGTGCAGTGACTTCCTGGTGCCTCGCTGGAGCAACACCGTCTTTTCTGGGATGAAACACTGACTCCTAATTTGGGGTGCACTGTTGGTGGAGGGACACCCTACTGGAAGAGAGAGGGCCTGTGCACCAGCCCCGCGTTGCTCCATGCTGCGCTCACTACGTAGCTGACACGGAACCGATTACTTTCTGGTAACTCCTGAGGACATTCAGGTGCACAGCGGGGCGGGGGCGGCACAGGAACGCAGACTGGCCGCTCTTGACGCCCCTGTCAGATCTGCCAAGTACATGGCGCTCCAGGATAGTACCTCTCGTCTTCATGGTACGCACAGAGAAACTGAGGTGTGAGGAGGTTACATGAATCGGCCGAAGACGTGGGCCGGCCTGAGAGCTTATTTCCTCTGATTCTGTATCTCTTTCTTCCTTTTTCCTTCCTTTACTCACATGGAAATTGCTGAAAATCTATGGGTGGGGGGAATCCTCAAATATATTAGAGTCATGATTTCTTCAATGCTGTTCCTTCTCGGCCTTTAATAAATAACAAGAGCTACAGGCGCTCACTTGGAATTTGCTGGGCCCGTGTTCTCCGTGCCTCCGGCGCATGGGCTCGCCTCCGGCGCATGGGCTCGCCGCGAGGCCCGGCACCTGCCAGAAGTCAGTGGTGACCCAGGGCCTCACCCCTCTTGTTCCCCTGCATTGCGTGAAGCATTTTTAGAGATATGATGTCATGAAGCTGCATATTAGGAGCAGGGCAAGAGCAGTTCAGACACTTTATGACAATTTATTGATGATGATCAGACATAGGTGGCCTTTGACCCAAAGGTGCAGATTTGTATTTGGACTTCAGTCTAAGGAGGACGGAGCCCCTAGTCTGGTAAAATTTATCAACTGATGCTATGTCCTGAAATTTCACGGAGACCAGTGGTCTTTAAGTATCACAGTACGTCCCTGACTTTACAGTACATGAGGCTAGAGTATGGCTTACGTGATGAGGGGTGGCTCTGCAGTTTTTATTCAAGTGTCTAGATATTTTTGGGACCATTAGGGTTTCTTACCTGTCACTAAGTTATCAGAAAAGTCATAGCGGGGTTCTGCCACGGGGCTGGCCTTCCAGGAGTGGGCAGAACTCAATCGGTTCAGTATTAGAGCAAGGTTATTGTAACGAATAGTTTTGACATATAGCCAATTCTCGAGAAGCTAACGAAACCTCCTCTGCCACTAAACTTGAGAATAAGGAACAAGAAGGCACCTGCCGCCGTTTCCCATCTGACTGTGATGCTGAGGCACAGCGGAATTAGCCAGAAGATGGGCTGTAGGGAGAAAGCCTGGAGGGGCCTACGCTTTGGGTAATCAATACTGAGGTCATCAGGGTTGACTGCACTCACGGAGAACGGATCACTTCCCACACAAAGCTGAAACACGAGGACAGAGAAGCAGCCTCCCAGTTACCATCGCAAGGCCAAGAAGCAGGTTGCATCACTGCTGTTAACCATACCAGCTATTGCACTACCAATAGGCCAAGTCGTGCCACGGACGCCCACGTGTCCCCGGCATGCCAGTGCCCCCCTTACCAGGTCCTCAGGGTTCTCTGAGGTGCACAGCATGAATGAGGGATTACAGAGTCATCCACTGACCGGGGAGGGTCAGCGGCATCTTGCGCGTCGTTTTTTTGAGGTTAAGACTAAATCCCTGTATGTGTGCACACGGAACGGAGAGGGCAAACAGGAGGGAATGGGGAGGGCTGTGGGTCAGCGACCAGGACGGGTGCATGCAGGGCCACCTGCCCTCGGCCTGCCCCCTGTGAGATGGAACCCTGGCCGCAAAGACAGTGCGCAGTAACTTCATCTGCACACGCACAGCTGTTTCTTGGTTCGGCCGTACGTCACTGAAACGGGAGCACCGTTCTTGGGACATAAAAAAGGAGGGTGATCTTTCAGAGAATCGACAGTTAAAAGAACAAGTGAAAAAACAAAGAGCCAGCAGCAAGTGTGGTGTCTGCAAAGCAGCCAATGGAAATGCTCCCAGGAGTCACCAAGACGAAGACAAGACCGTGTGCGGAACAACGGCAGGGAAAGGAGATAAAAGGGGAAGTTTAGCAAGAGACCAGGTCTTCTGGAACTAGTAGCCGGGCTCTCGGTCATCCACCCTTTGCCACCTAGTGATCTCCTTGCCCCTGGAAGACCTGGCCCAGCTCTGATGTCAGGGAAGTGACAGTGTCCCGTGCACAGCGAAGCCCTGCAAAACAACCATGCCCAGATAACACCCTGATGCTCTGCCCGAAGCAGGTGAAACATTCCACACCGTCTTGTCTAACTGCCCACCAGCTGCAGCCAGAGACCCCACAACGAGAAGAGCGACGAAACATAGGAACGTTGCAAACGGTCACATACAGAGCAATGAGAGGTGGTGTCCGCGTGCCTCGCCCCCGATGCACTGGGTCTGGATGTTTCTCAAGTTTCTTGGAGTTTGAGACAAATTCGAACGGTTTTTGCACCAAGATTAACATGGCACAGTAGAAACGGGCTGCTGACAGATCCATGTCACCTCGCCTTACCCACAAGCCTCCCTAAGGGCTCCCTCATTCTCAGATTCTTTCATTCTGAGGTGGTCTCAGGTCAGGGAGAAGGGGCCACGCAGGCCACTCACCACCACATGTCCCAGCTCAGCAGCTCTCGGGGGGCGGCACTGGACCCCTCTGCGCTCCTAACGCCTGGGGTGGGAGCACCGCTGCTGGATGAGGGTGGCTGAGCGGATCCCCAGACCACGCTCCTCCTCACGGGGGCCTCCCTGGGCTGCACCTGTGTGTGCACACCCCCTCCCCGCACATACACACGCAATTCACCTGCTCCACCGGAACACAGCGGTTTGGATATAAGGAGAAAATTCTGCACAGGCTGTTAGTTTTAGAAGGCTGCTTATCTCTCTAGAACGCCAACGAGTGTGGCTGGGCGTTCCTCTCAAACCCAGCAAGGGTGGTACCTGTCCAGGGTAGGCACCTGCATTGTTGTCTGAAGGGGCCTGCATCTTCAGCGAAGCTCAGAATGTGCCCAACCAGCAAACTACCTGAGCTGAAGGCACCCACACTCGGATTCAAACCAACTCCACACGTATTTAGTGCCTACTGTGTGCGGGGTGAGGTACCAGGTCCCTTTTTCTTCGGGTCAAACTCAAACAAGGAAAGACCTGTGTTGAATGTGGGGTGTGTGTGCGTGCACACACTTGCAGACACACAGGAAAATCTGGCTTTTTATTTGTCTTTTTTTTTTTTTTTTTTTAGTCTAAATTGGGTTTTATGACTGGTTAAGGTACGGGAGGAAAGAACGTCTGTTTTGGCAAGTTGTGGCTGCTCTTCCTTTGTCTCCCAGAGGCTTCCTGAGGCCCCGGTGCTGAGGGACCCCCGCCCGAGCCTGACGCCACCCCCGTGGGACCCTCTTCTGGGCTCCTTCTCTGTCGGCTGCTTTGTGCAGCTGCCCCCCCGCCCCCCACGTGAGACCTGAGATGGAGCGTGGATTTCTGCTCCGCACCAGCCCTGCCGCCGGGGGCCTGTGGCTTCTCACCTCCCGCTTCCTGCTCCCAAGTAGAGGCACCTAAACAGAGATTAGATTTCTGGTTTCAAGGCATATCGAACCAAGCACGCTGAACGAGCACGAGTTGGGTAATTAGCTCGGTCTCTCCTCTTTACGGTCCCTGGTCCGATGGGTCCTTGATGGCAAAGTGACCAGGAGAGAGTTGATTTGCATCTTAAGACCTATGGGCAATGCTTCTGGAGTGGGGGGCTTATCTAGCAACTGCTTGAACTTGTGTACGGGGTCGGGAAGGAGGTGGAGCTGACCCCAAGGGGGCTGTCGGAGACTGGGGGCGTGTGGGTAGCGCCCGCGGGGCCGGCCCGGGCCTCGGCGATGGCCGACAGGAGCTGCTGCTGCTGGTGCAGGGCGTCGGCGATGAGGAGGGGCAGGGAACTGAAGCCTGCAGCCAGGTGCTCCAGCTTGGACTCCAGGCTGCCGATCTGCTTCTCCAGGTCTTCGCTCCGATCGTTGAGCTCTGTGATCAGGTCGTACATGATGTTCTGCATCTGTACAGAGAGACAGGACACTACAGGTCATCGCAGAGGAGCCTGCAATGGGAAAGGGAAATGCTCCCAGATCACAACGGGAGCGAGGTCCACACTAGCGCCGCCCGGTCTGGCCCACCCAGGAGAGGACCTGGAGGCTTAGAGGCGGGGGGGGGGGTGGCAACACCCCCCAGGAATCCTGCGTCACGGGGAAGCAGACGGGCGAGTCCCGGCGGGTCCTCATGTCCCTGCTGACCCGACCTCCGGGCTCAGAGGCCGTGCGAGAAGGCACCGTGCTGGGCTGTGGACGGCGCGGGGACTTGCCGAGTCTGAACCCTGGCTTCCTTATAAAATAGGACTGATAACCACACATGGTCACAATGCTATTGCCGGTCGGCTGTGTCCAGCGCAGCAGCCAGAAGAGATGCCAGACGTAGGGACTCGCCACCGGTCGGCTCCACATCCACATGCAGCTGCCACACGTGGTCACAGCCCCTCCCCACTGCCTGGTCCCCAAGGAGCTCTGCTGCCCCATCTGGGACATCCCTGCAGGGCCAGTCCTCCCCCAGAGCTCCCGTGGGCCAGCTGAGGCCTTTGTCCATCTGCCGCGGTTCAGACCCCCCCCAGCCCCGTCCTGCCTCCCTCACTCCCGAATGGGCCCCCCAGCAAACCTCCCGCCTCACTGCTGTCTCACCGAGTCCCAGCGAGCTGCCCCATCTCCTGTGCCCTGCTTCATACTGCACCCCACCCCCACTCCCGATCCTGCTAATCTGCTCAACTGTCCCTTTTTCCTCCCACCTTCTTTTTTTTCTTTTTTAAAGATTTTATTTACTTATTTGGCAGAGAGAGACACAGCGAGAGAGGGAACACAAGCAGGGGGACTGGGAGAGGGAGAAGCAGGCTTCCCGCCGAGCAGGGAGCCCGATGCGGGGCTCGATCCCGGGACCCTGGGACCATGACCTGAGCCTCAGGCAGACGCCCAACGACTGAGCCCCCCCCAGGCGCCCCTCCTCCCGCCTTCTTTTGCGCTAGCGAATTCTGTTGCCCCTGGGGATGGGCTGCCGTCACCCACTGGGAGGGACCCTCCTTCAGGGCCTGGACCTTCGCCTGCTGTGTTACTGATGTGTCTCAAGGGCCTAAAACAGAACCTGGCTCATAGGAGACGCTCAACTAACAGACACACAAACATACATAATCACGCCTAGCGGGGGTGGGGGGCGGGGGCCTGTCCCCGAAAGGTGTCGGTGGAACAAACGGAGGAGTGAGGCTGGCACGGGTCCCTCCCATCCTGGGCCCAAGGTAGGAAACCCACTGATGGGGAGAGATGTTTCACACTACAAATTGTTCCCAGGTACCCAGGTTTCTCAGTGCTTACCAATGAGACCCGTGTGGCTGAAGGGAAGGAAGGGAGAGCCCGAGGGCCCAGCCCGGGGCTGCCTGGGAGTGACCCCTGCAGGAGGCAGTGAGGGCAGGGGGCAAACGGGGGAGCCCCCAGGGAGCTGAAACACAAATGAAACTTAAAAGGAAGCCAATAAACTTGCCTTCTGAGAGTTAAGTCATAAAACTGGGTCAGAGCCGAGCTGAAGCGGGGGCCTCAGGCCCGGGCGCCTTTCCCTCCGGCTGCCTGACCACACACCTGGGTGCCCCCCACACCCCAGCACAAAGCCCCACTGAGCCCACACCCCCCCCTCAAATCCTGCTCCTTTAACGGCGACCAAGCCACCTGAGCTCCACCCCGTACCTCCCGCAGGTGCACTCTCGGTCCCGCCCCACGGTGCCACCTCTCCCTCATCGGGCCACTTTCTGATGACAGTTTGGCTTCCCGAGTTGGCCCGGAGAGCGCTCACCTATGTGACAGCTCCGCTTCTCCATAAATTAACGAGGGACCACCGTGTGAGCCCTCAGCCCGTGGCTCCCAGTCCCTGTGGCTGCCGTGGTGGCCGTTGCTCTGTACCCCCTGCCCCCTCCCAAGTAATGTGGCCCTTGGGGCTTCTGGTCCTCTGCCGGTAACATGCTGATCCTATTGGCCTGAAACTCCAAGTCACTTCAGCAGACGCAGAAACCCCTGGAGCCGTGGCCCTGGAGGAGGGGCGGAGGTGACAGGGGAAAACAGGGTAAAGGGAGGCGGCGCCTAGTGAGAGGGGCTGGGGAGGGGCTGGGAAGGGGCTGGGAAGGGGCCATCCGGAAGTAGGGGCACGGCAGCTGGGCCTGGGAGCGCAGGACGCCCCCGGGGGCGGGGGAGACCAGACTTCGGAAGAGAAAGGACTGCCTTCACCCGTTAACAGTCCAGAACCTCCAGCGAGGGGCACACGTGCCGGGCGTCCGGACCACTCACTCATTTGCCTGGATGGGGCCCGGGCCCCCGGGTCTCGGCCCCCGCGCGGTCGCTGCCCAGCTGCCCGACCTCAGGGCGGCCACTTTGTTCCTTTGGATCTGGGCTTCCTCGTCTGTATTCATAATGAGAACTACCATTTGCAAAACCTCCATATAGTTTACAAAGCTCTTCCACAGACACTGTTTTATTGGATCCTTGAGCCTCGGATACTAGGAATTATGTTTCTGTTCCAATGAAAGAAATCGAAGCTAGCAAATAAAGACCCAAGTCCTCCAGCAATGCGGCCGTGTCCCCTGCTCCGTGGTTGGGGACAAGGTGCAGGGTGGGGGGAGGGGGCATATGGACCCAAATACACTGAGAAGCAGCCAGGGCCCTGGGTGGGTCTCCGGGAGGGAAAGAGTGGGTGGAGGCAGAGCCCCCCTCTCCTGGGCTTGCCCCTGTCCCTACGGCAGCCCTGCAGAGGCCCCCTTCACCCTTCCCTGCGCACCTCTCCTTCCAGGTGACTCGCTGTAGATTACCGATGGGGTTTCAGTCCCCACATGATTCACTGAGCCAGCCTGCTCTTCACGGGGCTGCATCTCTGTGAGGCGCTGTGGGTGGTACTGAACCAACACAGGCTTGAAAGTCCGTTTGCCTGATGTTCCCAGGAGAACATCAGCGACAGTGAGTCCTGCCAGATGAGAGGGAGGCAGGAGAGCCCGCTGCTTGTAGGAGAAAGTCTGGGGGCACGGCATGCGGCCGAGGACTCCTGCATGGCACTGGGTGGGCACGGCATGCGGCCGAGGACTCCTGCATGGCACCGGGTGGGTCCCCGGCCAGGTCTGCCTGGCACCACGCTCTTCCTGGCCACAGCTGGCTGGTCTGAGTGCAGACTCGTGACCGGACTGGCCAGGCACCTCATCTCTGAGCCTTCAGAGCTAAGATCACCAGAAGGCCAATGCGTCCTCGCCTGTGGCCAGAGCGCTCTCTGGACAGGGGCGCCAGGGTCTGCCCAGGAGACAGAAGCCGCAGTGGGGAGGGGAGAGCAGGGGACAGACCTGAAGCAGGCTCTTGCACAAGGAGGGCGAGGAGAGGGTGGGACGCATGCCCCCTGCCCCCCACCCCCCCGGGGCGTGAGGGCTGCCCGGGGCCTGTTCTCTGTTCCCTGGGGCCCCTTCCTCAAGTCTGGCCAGGTGCTCTGAGGCTCTGGAATGAGGCTTCCTTCTGTCATTCTTAGAAACGCCTCCATTTGTAAACCTAATTCTACTGCTTCCTGATACCCAAGGGTGTTAACTCCGTACCGAGACCTCAGGGGCTTCCCTCCCACAGCCCAGTCTCCCCATCCGCCCCCCACGTCCAGGCTCTGGGGCCCGGCTCCACCGCAGGGCCCGGCCCAGGCACACAGGCCCGAGGGCCTCCCTGCACCGCCGTCCCTGTCCCCAGTCCCCCCCTCCCCGCAGCTGGGGAGGTCCTTGCTGGGGCTTGATCCCTACATTGAACAAGGCGCCTGCACGTGGCCTGACAACTGGCAATTTCTCTGATTGCACCTCTTTTCAAAGGGTGCCAACTTGCCTGAGGGAGTTTCCCTGCTCACCCAGGGAATGGGTTCCATTATGATAATTGACATCTGCTGGAATGTTCTGCTAGCCTGGCCCCAGGCTGGTGTACAATCGTTATGGAGGGGCCGTGAGGGGGGGTTGCGGGGTGGGGGGAGCAACCCAGCTTGGCCAGCAGGGTGGCCTTCCGTTCTTGGTTGCTATGGTTTGCAAGAGAGGCGAGTTTCTTCACGGTATTTATGGCAGGTCTGAGTTAGATGTGCGGAGTGGCGGCGTGCCGTCAGTCCCAGGGCTCCCGGGGAGGGCTCTCTTTTTTGGCACCTTCATGCTCACCATGGGGACCTGCCTCTTGAGAAGTAAAGAAACGCACCACCCACCACCAGTTGGGGTCAGAAAAGCTGGTCTGTAAGGATTAGAGGAGGTGAGAAAATGAACTGCCAGGCGTTACCGTGTGCCTGGCAGCGTGGCCCCCACGTCCCTGGGTGGGCCCAGCAGGCTGCCCCCCCTGTGCAAGCCCGAGCTCATTCTTGGGGCATCGCCGCACAGCCTCAAGATGAGGAGGCTACTGAGCCACAGGCACAGACAGACCCGCGGCCGCGCTGATCGGGATTTCCATCGGTAGAACTCCCGTCATGAACTCAACCCTGGATTCCTTTCCCCAAGGAGAGGCTGTCATTGCTCTCCTGGCCCCACATCGCGTAGCTGGGACGTAGCTGTGTCCTCACAGCCTCAGGGGGAGGGCCAAGTGCCAGCACCTAAGAACGCTCCAGGTTCCGTCACTCACCTTGGACAGGTCCACCAGGGTGTTGGCTTGGTCGCTCAGCTTCCTCTGCTCCATCTTGACGCTCCTCAGTCTGTGGGAAAGAGTCGTGAGAGCCAGACTCCCCAAGTGCCCACGACAGCTTAGCCCCACGTGTGGATTCCACATCTACTCGATGTGCCTGACTCTGGAACCCAGCATGGGGACCTCGATCACGGGACATTGATCACAGGGCCTCGATCATGGAGACCTCGATCATGGGGCCTCGATCACAGAGAACCCAGCATGGGGACCTCAATCATGGGACCTCAATCATGGGGCCTCGATCACAGGGGTCTCCATCACGGGGACCTCGATCACGGAGACCTCGATCATGGGGCCTCGATCACGGGGGCCTCAATCACGGAGACTTCGATCACGGAACCTTGATCGTGGAGACTTTGATCACGGGGCCTCAATCATGGGGGCCTCGATCACGGAGACCTCAATCATGGGGACTCGATCACGGGGACCTCAATCACGGAGACCTTGATCACGGGGGCCTCGATCACGGGGGCCTTGATCACAAGGCCTCGATCATGGAGGACTCAATCACAAGACCTTGATCACAGGCTGCCCGGGTCCCCAGGAAAGCAAATCTCATCTCCATGCTGTGACTTCCACCTCCTCACGTGCTACTGTCAGGCCTTCTCCCTGCCTCGGTGCCGCCTGAATGCCCTCCTCCCCAGATCTCCTTCCTCTCCACTTCTCCACCCTACTTTCAAGTGCCTCTCTTCTGGAGAGTGCTGACCACAGTCGGCTCTGCTCCCAAGTGCCACGTGGGGGTGTGTGTGTGTCACGGGGACTGGGGTGTCCCACAGGCTCTTACCCTTCTCCCTGCCTTAGCAACCTGCCTGGGGCCCACCGGCTGCGGGTGCCATAAATAGAGAAGCAAACAAATCTGGGCCCGCTCACGCACCCCAGTGTTTGTCGGGTGCCCCACACGGCTTTTTTCCGTGTTTCCGGGTCAGGAAGGGACTGACAGAGGCACAGGCTGGCGGGCACCCTGTGTACTCACTGGTGGATGGCCTGGAGGAACTTCCGCTGGTGCTTCCTGACTTTGGCGTGGTCGATCTTCTTCAGCAGCTTCGTGTGTTTGTAGATCAGCCACGTTTCCCGGAGGACGTTGGCGGCAGCATTCTTGATCTGGGGAAAGACAAATAAGGCAAGTGGCTACCAGGTTCGTTTTCCTAGTTTCACATACTCTGTTTTTCGTGTGGGCTGATACAGTCTACCTTATAAGGACACGGTTCTGCCGAGATGTGTTGTTTCTTCACTGATTCATGAACTCGTAGAAAGGAGGATTACAATTCATCCCCTAGGACTCCCGTCTTGGACACAGCGGACGGGCCGGAGCTGTTTCTTTCTTAATTATTTCAGACTGCCCCTGGACCTCATCCCCCAGACCCAGGGGCCGGGGCGCCCTGTGGACGAGCAGAGCTCCACGCTCCACCTGAGATTTCCTCTTACTGCACAGGGCACCTTTCCTGGATTCGGAGACCGAACAGATTTCCTATCAGCTGGAGATTTTAAAAGGCTGCTTAGAGGAAATGTCTTTCCCACAAACGGAGCCAGAGGCCTCCGCCAGCCCAAATGTCCTTTTTCAAATGGCCAAAAACATTTACACTGTAATTTTACACGTAAATGTAATTAGCTTAAAGCTGACACCATTTCAAAGCAGTGTCTGAAAATCAGTGAACATATTTAGGTGTGAAGCCAACGGCGCGACCTCGCCAAGCCTGGCAGCTCCACGGGCGCGGCCACCGTGCGCTCGGGCACGTGCTGTCAGCATCCACCCGCATGGAGACCACTGGCACCACCGGCCGTCCACTGAGCCTGACGCATCGATGGCATCCAGATGGCAGGGGACGAAGTTTTCATCCAAACACAGACATCTTCGGCAATTAGGAACAAGAGCGAGAAGAAACATTTCTCATTAAGCACGAGCTAAACAGCCTTTTGATGGCCTGTTCGCCTTTCTGTGAGCCATGCAAATTGGCCCAGGCCCATGGGCCCGGGGCCTGGACATCTGTCAGATAGCCGGGAAGAAACCGAGTCACCAGCCAGAAAAGATTTTAACGAAACCGGCTTTTTCAGACTGACGTCGCAGATGGGACATTGTTAAAAGGCTGAGGCATGTGGGAAGGCCTGGGAAGCAGTTTTGCAGGCCGATAACTTTTGTGTGTGTATGTTTTAAAAATCTATTACCAAGGCTGGATTATATTTTTCATTGGCGCTGAAGTGATGTTTTTAAAAGAACAGCTAAGTCTTCTCAGAAATGTCTAAGTGACATAAACACTGCTCTTTTGTTCAGTAAAAATCCATGGTGAAAATGGTTTTTGACAACTTAATTGCCCACTTCTGGTGCTTCCTGGCCTGAAAGGAAGCAGGTGGTGGTGAGCGGACACTGGAGATGGTGAGTGTCCAGGTGAGCAGAGAGGCGGGGTCTGTTGGGCCCCGGAGTGGGCAGGAGCCTCCCGGACGAGGGAGGGGGCGCTTGGGACATCCCCCCACCACCCTGGCTCTCTCTGCACAGTGCGTACCACTGCCGGCTTCTCCTGATGGGTGAATTCTTCAGTTTTCCTGGGTGCTTAGCTTCCAAGGAAGGCCTCGCAGAAAAACGGGAGAAAAACCCTCCCTCGGCAGTTAGGACGACCAGCAGAGCCCCCGCTCCACATGAGTCCTCCCTGGAAGGCTGGAGAGCCACGGAACGCCGGGGCAGATGGTCTTCGACATGTGTCTAGGTGTTGGTGGGGAGCAAGCAGCTGAAATGGGGAAACCTGCAGGCTCATCCCTATTCTTCCAGTTAGTGAGCAGTTTAGGAATAAATGCTTCATTATCTATTGGGTGGGAGAAATAAATCCTTACCCTCAGGTGGTCGGGTGGCCCAAGGAGGCGCAGGTCTGAGCACTTCACGTGCATCTCAGTTACTCCTCCCCCAAGCCCACTAAGCAGGGACTAGGATGTCCCCATTTTACAGAGGAAGAAACCGAGACACATAGCAACACCAGGAAGCTATGAATGGTAAACTGAGCCAACACGGATTGAAGTGTCCCATAAACTCTACACACACAGGTATTAGTTATTATCAGCCCAAACCCCAATTTAAAATAGGAGGACATGGCATCACAGATGGGGCGTGAGCACAGAGTCACATGGCTAGCCGACAGCGAAGTCCATACAGCAGCCCCGTCCAAGAAGAGCGGAACGACCTGACTAGACCTCATCTCTACACAAACAACACCATTTCCTGTTTCCTAGGATCAAGGACTTGGGAAAAACATTAGCATTTTTTCTTTTACTCATCAGGGCCCTCACTCAGCCACGTAACAGAGTGGGGAGCCCAGGCCCCACAGCTCACTTCAGCCCAAGTGCGAGGCTGGGAAGTCACGGCCGGCCCGGGTAGCGGACACGGGCCACCACAGCATCTTTATGGGTTGCAACAGGAGGCCCCTGTGTATTCGGGAAAGCGATGTTAAATGCCAGCCTCGGTGCTGACTCTGAAATGAATTGACAGCAAACAGCCTGGCACAAAGCTAAGTAGATCAATTACTGCAAGAGAAGAAGAAACAGGCTTTTAAGGGCACTGTGCCCTCTGACGCTGACAGTAAATGCCACAAGCGGGGCCTCCGACTACGTCATGTGGCTGATGACTTCGAACGTCACTGAAGAGGGAGCGGCTGAGGTCGTGTGCCCCTCCTGGGATCCGCTGAGCTCCGGAGGGGGGCTCAGGTACCCTCTGAGCTCTCTTGGCGGGTAGGGGTACCAGGGCCAAAGGCTGCTCCTGGGGAGGATCAGGGGCCGCGCCGGGCTGAGCGAGGCTGGCCGCCTTCAGAGAGGTCCTGCCTGCACGCGGAAGGCTGGCTCTTCTGTTCCCCAAACATGTAAGCACACAAGCTGATTCCTTGCTGTGTCCACACACTCTCGACCCAAAACGTGTGTGTGTCCCCTCTGATGGGGGCCAGAGCGTGGGCTCAGTGACCTCCAGGCCTGCCTGGGCCCCGCGCAGGGAGGTGGCGCGAGGAGTAGTCACGGCAGCTGACCCGGAGCTCTCACTGTGTGCCAGGCTGTGCCCACTGCTTCATCAGCCCCCAGAGCAGCCTCAGAGGGGCTGGAACCCCCTCTTCTGCCCTGCTGCTGAACCTCCGTGAGACTCCGGTGACGTTCTCGTTCCTTCAAACAGCAGGGAGCACCTACCACGCAGACCCCGTTGTGAGACTACTGTAATGAACAGGCCAGGAGCTCCCCGCGCTGAAGGGCTCATAGTCTCGCCAGACTGTACGCGGCCTCTGGTGTCAGTAGTAAGTGTCGGGGACCCGGAGCTTCGGAGGAAGAGGCCGCCCGCGGCAGCGATTGCACGGGGACCCGCCGGGCACAGAGCCTGCCACCGGCGCTTCAACTCATGGCAGCTCCACAGTGCCCTCCCCACTGGTTGTGAGCTTCCTCCTGCCCCCACCAGAGAAAACATCACAGAACACGCTTGTCTGTTCCTTGGTTCTTGACCCGATTGCCCATGCCTGCGCCTTGCCCTGGCCACCCCTCCCTGCTGCAGGGGGACACGGGACAGCCTGGGATGGGCGCCTCCAGAAGCCTCAGGGAGCACCCCCCCCGTGACTCCCCAGGGAAGAAATCACTGGCATGCCCCGTAGCTTCCAGAAAGCTCCCCGGGGGCGAGGCTGGAGAGGGGATGGGAGAGAATGCAGAACACGCCTGGCAAGTGGGTGTGACAGAAGTCAGTTCAAGGAGCCCCTGGGTCGGATTCAGCTGAAGAGAGCGCTGGTGAGCATCACATCCCAGAACCTGCAGGTCAGCCCTTCTTCAGACACTTGACTGAAGGAGTCCGTTAGGGACAGGACTGGGGAGGAGGGCCTTGCCCTGCGGCCTCGCCCTGACCCCACAGACTTCCCGCTGGCTTCCTTTCCTCTTTCCGCTCCCACCCTCCTCTCCAGCCCGTCCAGGCCTGTCCCGTGCCCCTTCTCAGGCTTCTCTGCTCGCACCGGGAAATCGGCCCCAAGGCTTGGAATGGGCCTCCACTCTGTGGCTGGCAGGAGCTTGGGGCAGGGAGTGAGGGGGAGGGCTTCTGTGGCTGGATGTTGCAGTTTGGAGCTCCTGGCCCCGTGCAACATGGTGATGGATGGTGCTCAGCTGTACGTTGCCGTCGATGTGATACTCAGCCGGTGTGCTCCGGACTGGCTTTTCTCACCTGCAGGCCTGGGACCCTAACCGCCAGGCCAAGTTCCCAGGAACTGACTGCTCTGGAAAACCCACAGGGTTGTGGCTGGAGGCTGTGTGCAGGCCTGAGAACGTGCTGCTGCCCTAGTTAGCATCCAGCTAGCTGCCGGTGGCTGGGCGCCCTCGATCGCCCATCTCTGGACCTGAGAGTCTCGTCCCTAGGACTCCTTCCCGCTCAGAAGCTCAGTGTTTGTAGGATTCTTATTAAAGAAAACACATCCCCAACCTCTCTGGGACAGAGCTCTGTGACCCAGATAATTTACAGGCCCTTTCTGGGGGAGGATTAGTATTTGATAACTGATCCACCTATTACTTGACAAGTTTTTAAGAGATTAAGACCTGTGATGAGTAAATCCTTGAATTAGCCTGCTGGAAGAAAAAGTTTTTTCAGCAGGATTATGATAAAACTTTTACAGTTTCTTTAGCACTGATTAGTAGGTCCAGGGGGTTACTAAGGGTTTTGAGCAGGGTGGTGACATGTTCATAGCTAGGTCTTAGAGCCTCAGGGGACCCACAGGGAAGCAAAGAGCAGGAAGACCAGGGTCAGGGAAGCTCAGGGAGGGGGCAGTGGCGAGCACCTGTGACAGCTTTAAGTGTGGTGAGCAGAGGGCCTGGGGAAGCCGGCATGTGGGAACAGCCTTGGCGAGGTCGAAGCAGGCTGGGGAACAGCTCAGGCCTCGGGGTCCAGGGCAGAGAAGAGTCCCAGATGCTGTAAGTTCCCAGGCCCGGAGACCAGCGAAGTCAGGAGAAGGAACAAACGTAGGGAAGACAGGGGTTTGGTTTTGGTCTTACTCACTGGCCTCAGGGGAAATGTACTTAGATAAAGTACGTGGGGCAAGAACCCCTCGTGGCAAGGGAAGGACACACAATCCTCAGCCCGCGGTACACGGCTGGTGCTGCCCGAGGTCCGGCGTGGAGCGTCGACATGGCAAGCGTAAGCCGCGTGCCCGTGGGCAGCCCGCCTGCTGGTTAGAAGAGGAGGTGCTCTCTGACGGTGGGAGCTGCCTGGTGCCCATCTTGGCATCCCCGGAGCAGAGCGTGACGTCCAGCGGGCGACCTGACGATGGGTGTGGTTAGTTCCATAAAATGCAGAGACGGGGACATGCAGCATTGCGTGGGGGAAAGATGGAGAGCTAGTGTCTTTTTTCTCGTCTCTCCGTGTGGCATTTACATATATATTATTTACCAGCCCAGACGGTAGCCAGAAATGACAGTTCTGGAAGAGCAATGGCACTGACCCTGTGAGGTCACTGGGAAGGCCTGACTGCACCAAGTGCAGGGGGTCATTGCTGCCAGAGCTGACCAGTTACACAAGTGACAGGACGGCCATGGGTTCAGGGGAACCAGGAACTGAGCTCCTCCCCCGTGCCACCAGCTGGCCCTGCCCCCTCCCGCTCACACGGTAAATACACAAAACCCGAGTGACTCTCACCGGTGACACGGGGCCGGAACCGGTACAGCAAGCCCGGCAGGACCCATAAACCAGAATGCTCTGTGTATTTTTAGGACCAATAAATTACAATTCTTCTCTCTCTCTCTCTCTCTCTGCTTAGGTTTTTGGAGAATTAAGTTTGCTTGCATTTGTCATAATAGATTGCTTTTATCTGTGGCATGCATGACGGTCTGCTCTTGAGAGGTTTCTGATTATGCTGCGGTCGGCTCTCCGAGGTTGGGTCTTTCTCTGGTGCTTCACTGAGGTCTCAGGAGAGAAGGCGCTCACCCTCGCTGGGGTCCGGGCGTGGAGGGGACAGGGATGCGGCCCTGGCGCCCCAGGGAGAAGGGCTGGGCTCCCTCACAGCCTGGCAAGGGGAGCTGAGGCTCACACGCACCTTCCTTCCACCCGAGGTTTTGGAGAAGAACCTCTGGAAGCCCCAGGCCCGCCAGGCCCGCCAGGCCCGCCAGGCCCACCAGCTTTGAGAATCCTCCCTCTGCAAGAGCCGCCCCTTCATGCTGTTTGCTCATCTGGGAGAAGATACGAGACATTAAAGAGACATTTTGATGGATTTAAGTGTTCTCAGAAAAGTGAGATGTATTCCATTTAAAAAGGTACCTGGCGCTCATGGATGAGCCACAAATATTTGTTGATTTGATTTTCGGTCCTACTTTTCCAAAAAGTAAGTGGCCTTGAGGATTTATAGAATTATTTTAGAGGACGGGAAGCAGCGACCGCAGTGTCAGCTCCTTCCACAGTCGGACTGCAGACAAACTGTTCATTTTCCCGTCAGGCGAGGGGGCTGGCTCTGCTTGGCTTTGTTTTCCTCCACTGATTTACGGGGCAGAAAATGGAGAAAGCGCGGGAATGGCATGCAGTACAAAGTGTTCTGGGGATTTCATGAAACAGACCGGACTTATGCGGACTGTTCAGGTCTCTGCTCTAGGGAAGCAGCTGCCGCAAGGTCCTGGAGGCAGGACCGCCCACCCTCACCCCTGCATCACCCCTGGTCACCCCTGCACCAGGAGGCCGGGTGCCAGTGCGTCTGCGCACGGCGGCGCCGGTCACGTTGGTAATTTGCTCAGTGCGGAGCCACGCTCGTGTGCGCACGCTGGGGCTGCAGGGAACCGCTGGGCCACAGGCTTCCGGGGGGATGCCACTCAGAAAGCCGCGGGCACAGCCCTCTGTTCCGCCATCTTGATGCTGCGTCATGCTCTCTGTTGTACCTCAGACAGCGAGGCCAGGACGAGCCCCGTGCACCTGCCTGCCTGCCACCCAGGGAGGATGTTTGCGGGACCCGCCCCTTTGCACATCTGGGGAGCCTCTGTAAAGACTCCAACACAGGGACTCAAAGACCAGACCATCAAACCCCATAATAATGCTGCTGAGAAGCGCAGAGGCCTGGGCACCGGCGCTGGCCTCCCCGCCTCCCTTCTCCTCCCTGCCTCCAAGTCTGCTGTTAACGCTGTTTTCCAGGGCTGCAGAGTCATCACAGAATATCTTCTCTCCCGTTCAAAACCCCAAACAAGCACCTGGTTGCTCGAGGGCCCCCAACCCCCTGCAGTCCTGAACCAGGAAGACGACGGGCCACAGCGGCCCCGACCCCAGCACAGGGTCTGAGGCTTGTCTCAGAAAGAGGAGTCTTGCAAGAAATCCTCTTGCTGACCTCTGTTCGGCCTGCAGCTCTAGAGAATTCTCCGTAAAAGCGGTGTTAAGGAACGGTTCTGCCTGCTCATCTGGCTGTTGTCCTGGAAGGGCCGGCTTCTGTCTCTTCTCTGACCGTTGCGCGGGTGGCAGACTTCCAGCAGCTGACCCATCTCCCCAGCCTGCACACTTCCTCCTCGACCACGAGTGAGAAGCACTGCCCGGAAGCCCCCAAGGGGGACTGGATGATGACACTTTGATGAACACCATTTAGAAATGGGGGCTCTGCTGTGATGATCGTCTTTAATGATTTTTTTAAAAAGAATTGGATTTAGATACAATATCATTTTTAAGACTCTACTGGCCTCCCTGGGGCGCCCAGCCGGCTCAGTCAGAGGAGCGTGAGACTCTTGATCTCGGGGTCGTGAGTTCGAGCCCCATGTTTGGTGAAGAGATGACTTAAAATAAATAAAACTTAAAAAAAAACACAAACAACCCAAGACTCTACTGCCCTTCCTAACGTTGTCTGACCTAACCAGAAACGCTGCCTCACGCCGGGTGACCGGTTCAGTGCCGTTAGGGGAGCGGGTGGGTCACACCACCGAATGCTCCATTCAATTGTCAGGAAAATTTTTTGGTCGTCTGAACCGAGCGCAGTGATTGAGTAGAAGACGGGAGCCCGTAATGCTGAGACGTCGCGCCCCCTTGTGTGGAGGCCGCTCTCAGGTGTCTGGGCTCCCGGGCCCCCGACCCCCATTGAGAGGTGTGGCCCTGACCTACAGCACTCAACTGTCTCCTTGTGACCGGCCTCCACACTGGACTGGAGCCCCCCGTTAAGACGTGGACAGTGGTGTTTACCCGTTTGGTGAGCTGCGTATCCATCATGAAGTTGTGGACGTGCTTCTCCGCCTTGGTGAGCTCCAGCTTTCGGGCCACCACGGCCACCACGAGGGCGGTGCAGCCCGCACCCTGTGGGCGACAGAAGCGGGGAGAAAGCCTGGGATTACAAGGCAGGCTGCAGGCAGAGGACAGCTCCCCTGCCCGGCCCACTGCGGGGGTCCAGGAGCCGACGGGTGCCCGGGGTGTCTGGCCGGTCGGGCCCTTAATGCCGCCCCCACAGAGGATCCTGCCCGGAGCTGACCTCCCTCTGGGAGAGGGGAGACCACTGAGTCTTCAGAAGACCAGCCAGTTGTTAATGGAGCAGGAGTGGGGGGTGGGGCTGAGGCTTTGGGGGATTTAAAACAGCAGATAATCACTCAGTCATTGGCAAGGCTGTGCGGGTGCATGGTCTGGACACTAGGTCCCGTCTCCCTCTTGTTTATCCAAGACCATCCCCCCCCGCTCCAGACCAAGGGGCCGGGAAGAGAAAAGGCCATGCTGATACCAGAGTCGGGGTGGTACAGCTCCTGCCATGCACCCCACACTGCACCCCGGACTGCACCCCACACTGCACCCCACAATACACCCTACACTGCACCCCACACCGCACCCCGGGGGAACGGGTTTGGCATGAGTGTGCGAGCTCGGGGATGGGGCCTGTTTGGCACTCGGGTCTTTGTAGGCAGAGGTCCGGCTGTGACTCAGCACGAGGACCCAGCCCTTTCTCCATTCGTCCCTGAGACCCCGCAGACACCGTGGGGACACAGGCTCCTGCCCCAGGCCAGGGCTCCAGGGAGCCTGCAGCAGCCCTCAGTACTTCCCCCAGCGATGTTCTCACTCTGCGGGTGCACAGTGGTCCCACAGAACCCCCTCTGCAGGCCCGCGGGGCGCTAGCCTGACTGTCCGGAACCGACGGATCCTGAGTCCCCGAGGCGGGGCTTTCCCGCCCGCCCGCCCGCGAGCTCAGGGACGCCCAGGCCCGACCCCCGCCGCTCTCCCCTCTGCAGGGGCAGAAGTCAGTCCTGCCCTGCCTCGCCCCTGCCTCGCCCTGCTCTACCCCTGCCTTGCCCTGCCCCTACCTTGCCCCTGCCCTCACCCTGCCCCTGCCTTCACCCTGCCTTGCCCTGCCCTTGCCCTCACCTCACCCTGCCCCTACCTCACCCCTGACCTCATCCTGCCCCCGCCTCCCCGTGCCCCTGCCGCGCCCTGCTCTGCCCCTACCTCGCCCCTGCCCTCGCCCTGCCCCTGCCTCGCCCTGCCCCTGCCCCTGCCTTCACCCTGCCCTGCTCTGTCCTGCACACTGGCCTGAACCGCCCCGCCCTCCCTCTTGGGAAGAGAGGAACAGTCTGACCCTCTAGATGCCAAACTAACTGCAGTTGCCACAAGCCTGGCTTAGCACTGGGAGGTCCCAGGGCTGGAGGGCTCCATCAACAATGTTTTTGGCTCATCAGTCTAATAGAATAGGTTAGAAACAGAGACAGATGTTTTTCAAGGTGCACAGCCCGCACTGCGGTCGGGAGGAGTACGTGTAGCAGGACGGTCAGCAAGGGCTGGCTGGTGTAAGGCTTTGGCTGAAGGGGGCAAGGCCTTCCCCTAGCTCCTCACAGCATTCCCTCCGGAAGAATCTCCCATTTCCCAGTACATTTGGTGAACCACCCACTTCCAGCACAACAAACTGAACAGGACCGTGTCTCTGAACTTTCCTTCTCTGACCTCATCTTCCTCTCTTGTTCGGGGATGGCTGTGTTTTCCTGGCATCTGCATTTTGCAGAAGACTGTGCCCAATTTTCAAGGGATCTGTATGGGATGTTGGAAGCCTGGTCCATAGCTGTCGTTGATTTAGTCAAGCCTCCAAAAGTAACACATGGCTTATAAGGAGCTGTTCTGGAGAGAAGAGGTGTTAGGTTAGGTTAACCCTAACCCTGACTCCATTCCCCTCAACCAGACCGAGTACCATCCCTCTCCTTTGTGGGGCGTTCCAAGCCCAAACAGAGGGACTTATCATAGTGTTAAAAATGGGGCCTCAGGGGGGCGCCTGGGTGGCTCAGTCGGTTAAGCGTCTGCCTTCGGCTCAGGTCATGGTCCCAGGGTCCTGGGATCAAGCCCCGCGTCGGGCTCCCTGCTCCGCGGGAAGCCTGCTTCTCCCTCTCCCGCTCCCCCTGCTGTGTTCCCTCTCTTGCTGTGTCTCTCTGTCAAATAAATAAATAAAATCTTTAAAAAAAATGGGGCCTCACTTGGAGGTGCTCGTTTAAGCGACTGCCTTCGGCTCAGGTCATGGTCCCAGGGTCCTGGGATCAAGCCCCGCGTCGGGCTCCCTGCTCCGCGGGAAGCCTGCTTCTCCCTCTCCCGCTCCCCCTGCTGTGTTCCCTCTCTTGCTGTGTCTCTCTGTCAAATAAATAAATAAAATCTTTAAAAAAAATGGGGCCTCACTTGGAGGTGCCTCCCCAGGCTCTGTTCTCCCTCGCCTCCTCCAGGGCCAGCAGAGCAGAGTTCCACTTTAATCGCCCCTACAAGCCAGGGGGCAGAGGCACTGAGGAGGGGTCCCCCACTCATCATGCTGCTCTGGGGATCCCATCAAACGATCAGTCGTGCACCATCCTGGATTTCCAGGGTCTGGGAGAGGGTCCCTGGCCCCCAACATGGCTTACAGCCCAGCTGCTTGATTGCAGGGGGCTTCTAATTGGAAGCCAAAGTGTTTTAACTAAGGAACCATCTATTTTATACGATTAAGATAAATTTCTGCATGGAGACAGGAGGGTGGACTGGATTTAAAGATGCCAAGACTCCCTTGTGGCTATTTCTCTGGAGGGCACTGGGTTCTTAACCACTAAGTCTGACTTGAATAGATAGCAGTGAATACTCTCAACTTTATTTTTCTTTTAGAAAATCCATCATCTGGATGTAATTAGGGAAGTCACCAATAATGAAGCCTCACTTGGTCATTTCCATTAAGAAGCAACCTTGTGAAGATGGGGTCAGACATCAGCA